GCTACACTGCACCCTGACTGGCTCATCTCCTCCCCAAGACCCTTCTGTAAGGGGATGGGCTTCACTATTCTTTCAGAACATTGAAAATCAAGCAATCAAAATCTTCCCGTGAAGCTTCCCCTCAGCCATGGGCCAGTAGGGGCATCCTGTGGGGCCTGAGACCATGGGCTCCCCTCACTGGCCACATTGGCCAGTGTGGTGCAGGGGGTGCATCCTTGGGAATATAGCTGGGCCCAGAGAGATGGTCCCGAGGGACTGGATGATGAAGGCAGAGCTTTCTTGAGAAGGAAAGGCAAGAAGCAGGCCAAGAAAACGAGGTCGGTTGCAATCGCTCCGTGGTGGGTGAGCGTGTAGGTCTGCACTAGCAGAGGGGGGTTTCTGGCCACAGACACAGACATGCCATGTGTGCCTGCACACGAGTCATACCCGGTGCACTGGTGGCCACCCAGGGTCAGGGCACTGACTGTGGACCCAGGATCTGACCGGCTGGGGACCTTAAGGTGCTGATGTCAGGTGAAGAGCCTGCTGACATCACGTGGTTCTAGCAGAGAGAGGGCCGTAGGAGGGACAAACAGCCCAGCCTCTGGACTCGGTGACACTCAGTGTAAAGCAGGAGACATTCCATGGGAAGGCGAGCCGTGCCTCCACAGTGGATCCCGTGTTCCTTTTAAATACCCAGAAGTATCTGTGACATAGCGTGCACTCATTATAGAGCAGAGCTTTTAAAAACAATCCCAGGGAAGGGACAAAGCTCAAGGTCAAAAGCACCCATGACAGCGTGTTGCCCTGTGACCGCTCACCCACAGAAACCAGGTCTGGCTCGAGATGGATGGCTGTACAGGGAGTGGGGAAGGGGGGTTGTTTTCCAGTGTTCAGTCAGGGCACAACAAACCCTCTCCCTCAACAGAGGCAGCCAGAGAGACAGCCTCCTCCGGGCTTCTAGTCTGGGAGAAGGCTCAAATTACCGTTAACAGTCTGTTCTTGTCCCTTTGTCTCCCACCCTGTCCTTCCTGCCATCCTTCCTCCTGAATGGGCAACAGGCAGCGGAGCCTCCACCCAGACCCAAAACCCCAGAGATCTTCAGGTAAGTCAGAGCCAACCTGCAGAGTGTTCCAGCTCCGAGTGTGGGCTGACGTTGGCTGTAAAGGGGGCACGGAGTTGCAGTCAAGGTCAGGGTCTAAGTCCTGTGAGGCTTTCCTGGATACAATACAGTACTCCTGTAATCAAGGCGAGCAGGATTCTGTGTGTGTGTGTCAGGGGTGGGGGGTAGGAAGCATTCTTCCCCCCTTCAAAAAGGCTTGCATTCACTTTTTTATTGTTGCAAACATATCCATCACCCAGCTCTGGCTAACTCGACGTCCTTGGGGTGTACAATATAGTGTTATCATGGCTTTGACCGTGATGTGGCATCATCACTGTGCACAGAAACTCAGCACTTCCTGGACAATGTGGGTTGGAGTCGGGGGCATGACGGGAAGGGCCACTGGGCCGGCGAGGACACCTACTCTGTGTCCTCGTGAGGGAGTGTCACCTGATGCCAGCGTGCCCAGTCACCATGTCGGGAGGGCGTTCCATGGAGCAGACTACTGAGCCAGGGGTCAGCGAGCAGCTCCGCTCGGAAGAGGGAGGAGCCAGAGAGGGAGACGTGGGTGGGGTCCATGCCCTGTTGGCACATTTTTTTTGAAGAAGAGGAGGAGGAGGAGGAAGGACTCTGGAAAAGGAAGCCATTCTTCTGTAAGATGAGAAGCAGAGTCTGAAGAAATGCTTCCAAGCAAGCACGCCTGTGCTTCCCCATCTCATAGCGGCGGCTGAAAACGTGGAGAGGAGAAAGACAGACTGACAGGAGAAACGCGTTTCATTACTTTTAGTTCCAAGGAGCTACAGAAACGAGGGATGGGGTGCACTCGCACCTAAGTGCCCGACTGCTGCAAGAGTGGGCTGCATCCCCCCCGACCGACTGTGTCTGGAGACACAGGAAGGGCAGAGTGACGGACTGAGGTGTCTGGTGGGGCTTTCCCACACCCACTCATCTGCTCACAGTGTAGGAGCTGAAGTCCAATCCCAGAGGCGGGCTCCCGTCCGCTCTGGGCAAGGTCCTCGTCTCTGCAGCGTCTGCTCTGGTCCCTCGGAGCGCTGCTCTGTGGCTCGGCATCTTGCCATTGCTTCTTTAATCTCTGTTAGATCTCCAAGGAGACATGCTCTAGACACATGCTACATAATCCTGTCTCAGTGACATAAGACAACTCATTCCCAAAGGAGATGGTAACCGCAGGGGTAGTGTGGGGTTTAGGAGACTTATTTGGGTGGGCGGGTGGGGGCATATAGTTAAATCTAGAATAAGCAGCAAGTCCAGGGTGAATGGGGGAGCACAAGCCCCAAACACATCCGGCAGCCCTCAAGCTGGCCTCTTGGCGACACGTTCTCAAGGGACACAAATCAGACCCCACAGAGCCCTGAGGAAATGATAGTGGCAGTGACCTTGGGCATCACGCAACAAAGCAGCCCAGGAACACTCCTCCCATGGCTCTGCCCCATTCCTCATCGCCCCGCTGGCTCTGTGCTGGCTTGAGACCATCTTAGTCCTCTCCCACTTGAAACCCCTGTGTGGCACAGAGTGTGCTACTAATGGAAAGGTTGGAAGTTCAAGTCCACCCAGCATCGCCTTAGAGGAAGGCCTCGTGGTCTACTTCTGAAAAAGTAGCCACTGGAAGAAAACCCTAGGGGCACAGTTCTACTCTGACACACACGGGGCCACCATGGCTCAGGGTGAACTAGATAGACGACAACTGTCTTTCTCTCTCTCACCTACCTTGCTCTCACCTCTCAGCCACCCCTGCCCTGATCCAGCCCAGTCTAGAGAGCTGAGCAAAGAGACCCAGAACTTTCCTCCTCAGCAGGGAAGGGAAGGGAAGGGGCAGGAAGGAGCAAAGAGCCCCAAGCTCCGCTCCTTGGCCTTGGTTGTGCTGTTTCTTCTTTCTCGTCGTGCCCCTGTGAATGTGGGTGCAGCACAGGTTCTAATGACGTGTTTCACCCCAAGGGCCCAGGTAGCAGAGGGAAGACCAAGTCCTGTCTGCAGACCCGGTGTGTTCTGTAGCATGCCGTGTGGGGACGCAGTCCAGGCTAACCTAGGACCTGCTGTGTCACCCACTGCAGGGCGCTGGAAGGGGAGGCTCACCGTGTGAAGTTTGGGTTTGTGCCTGAGACATCGGAGGAGCTCCAGGTCATGCCCGGGAACATTGTCTTTGTCTTGAAGAAGGGAAATGATAACTGGGCCACGGTCATGTTCAACGGGCAGGTATGCAGAGGGTAGGGGTGGTGCTGCAGGCATGGGACCCTGGCAGCCAGAGGTAGAGAGCTTGGAGGAGCAGCATCTGCCACCTGGTTGGCAGTCGTGGACGGCACGCTCCTGGTGCCGCGGGCTGCCGGCAGTGTGTCACTGAGGGTGCGTCTTCCTCTTCCCTCCCTGGTTCTGTGACTTGCACTGCAGAAGGGGCTCGTTCCCTGCAACTACCTGGAACCCGTTGAGCTGCGGATCCATCCTCAACAGCAGTCTCAGGTAACACAGTGACATAACCTGGCCTGGTCCCCCCACCCCCCACCCCACCGGCCTCTCCCTGGGGGGAGAACAGCAGTGTAGAAAGAGGTACTCTTGCCAGCTCTGAACAAGCTCATCTCGAGCTTGCTGCCCAGAGTGAAGAAGAGTGGGGGAGACCCAGATGAACTCAATGGGGGCATCTGCAGGGCTTTTGTGGTGAGGGTGACTCAAAGCCTACAGTATAGGGAGGTAGGTCTTCCCAGATGAGTGATTCTCACCGCGAAGAACAGTCAGTGAATTGGCTGTGTGGTGCCACTACAAACAAACAAACAGAGAAAGACAGACAGACAGAGAGATCTGCTTTAGTGCATTGAATCAGAGTGACCTTGGCAGTCAATGCTTCTAAAATTGCTATCACCCTTTCAAAGACTGCCCTTCTACCAGGCCCAGTGAGTGGTCTTGGTTGGATCTGAGCAGCCAGGTAAGCGGTCTCATGGCAGTAGGGCGTTTCCTTCTAGATTGCAATGAATTGTCCTCTGATGTGTGGGCTTGGCCCTCCCTAGGCAGAATCGTGATATCCAGGTGCCTTGAAAAGCCACACTTTTCAATTATTCCTTTGAAGAATTGTTCCTTTTTAAGAGTTGTATCCTTGGCAGCTATGACACAAGCTCAATGTCCCATGTCTTTTCCAGCAGATTTCCAATACGGCTGAAAGGGGTGAAGAGGCAGCAAGAAGGGCCTTTTAAATGGGATTTTAGTATTCATATTTCAACTGTGGCCTCCTCATTTTCACCTCAGACCAACTCTGATTCCTTCTGTGACCAATAATCTAACTGTCCTCCACGCTACCATCCTAACTTTTAGGAAATATTTGCATTTCGCATGTTTCCATGTGGGGCTGCTTGAGAAATAAATGCAGGTTCTGACCACATTTTCTGTCACCTCCAGGAGGAAGCCTCTCCAGAGTCTGACATCCCTGCACCTCCTAGTTCCCGAGCTCCAGGAAAACCCCAGTTGTCACCAGGTTAGTGGCCCTGGAGCAACATCCCAGGTCTGGGAGGTATCCCGACAAAGCTTTTTTTCCCAGCCTCCCAAGAAATGCCCTTTTCCTCTCCAGAGTGGCCAGCCAGTTTGTGACCACACAGCCTCCTTGCTGCTACGCCACTAGTTGATGCACAGCATATATATTCCATGAGAGGTCTTCAGAGAGTTCTGGGGAAAACAGACCTGAAAGATAATGTCATTTTCCTACACGCCTTTTGAAGCCTCCTGGTGTGTGTGCATATTTTGTTGCTGTCAGGTGCCATCAAGTCAGTTTCAACTCAACAAAGGAACCTTGGTGGCATAAGTGATCAGCGGCTGACCAAAAGGTCAACAGTTCGAAGCTACTCTGTGGGAGAAAGATGTGGCAGTCGACGTCCTTAAATATCACAGCCTTGGAAACCCACAGGGGCAATTCTACTGTCACATTGGTTTGCTACGAGTCAGAACCAACAGCAGACAACCACATACGTTATGTGTATATACATACACACGTGCGTATACATCCATCCATCCATATACATTTTTCGTTACTTAGCCACTTGAAAGTAAAAGGCAAATATCACACTTCATCCTCGACAGGTCAGCAGGTCTCTCTTAAGAACAAGGACATCCTCCTGCATAATCACAATACAACCGTCACAGCTAAGACACCTGACATCAAAATGATGATCCCATCATGATCGAGTCAAACTCAGCACCTGCGAGTCAATGCCAACCTTATAAAACAGGGTAGAACTGCCCCTGAGTTTCTAGGACTGTTCATAGGAGTAGAAATCCCCTTTCTCCCGAGGAGCAGCTGGTGGTTTTCAACGGCTGACCTTGTGGATCACAGCCAGACTCATAGCCACATACTGTATCACACATTCTAATTTCTACAATTGCCCCTCAAAACAGCCTTGATAGCCTTTTCTGTTTTCATTTTTCTGCCCAGGGGCTAATCAAGGACCACACATTCATGTCGGTGAGCTTTAAAAAGACAGAGTCCCAAGACCTTATGTTCTGAATTTTGAGGTTGACATGGGCCTTGGGAATCTGTAGTTTTAGAGAGGAGAAAAAAAAAGAAAATCCCTCTTCAAGTGATTCTGGTGATAAGCTGAGTTTGAGATCAGACATCTTTTTCGTCACATGCCTCCTCTAGGAAATGAACACTCTTCTAAATTGTATGCATACCACTGCATTAGTGGAGTATATATGTTAGAAGACATACACAGAAAGGAAGAGGAGGTAAAAATAAGTGGATCTAATATCTCTCCTTGCGGCCTGCTAGAAGGCCCCCCTAGCTGGTCCCTCCCACATAGGGCTCCTCTGATCACGACCCACCAGCTCTGAGAGGCAGAGACTGGTGTCTTCCATGTGTTTAAAACCTTACCTTTCATGCCGCCCCAGAACGGGATGCCTCCACCGCTTATGGAGGTTAACACGGCCCCAAGGCCCTCAACATTGGCACTGCTAACACAAGGCTGGCAATTAAAGTTCAACAGCTGCCCCCAGGGAGAAAGATGAGGCTTTCTGCTTCCAGAAAGACTGGGCCTTGGGAAGCCTGTGGGGCCATTCTACTCTGCCCTCGGCTTGGAGATCTACTCAACGTCAGTGAGTTGGTCTGCTTGTTTGGTTTAGCAGCCGCCCAGAGAGGAAAGGCACGAAACCGTGTCCCCTGCTCTCCGGTTTCAGTCCACATATGCCCGAGTGCTCACTCACCACCATCTTTTGTTTCCCTCCCTGCCTGCCTTCTCCATTTAGGTCGGAAACAAAGAGAAGAGCCAAAGGTAACAATTTTGTCTTTGTTCTGGTTCAAGTAGCAGGTGATGGGCGAGCTCGGGTGTCCGGTTAGGTCTCTGAGGACTGTAGCAGAGTCCCCGAGGGAGCGGGAGACAGCTGCCACCGTGCACACAGCCCAGGGGCTGTGGCTCCCTGCCCACTCCCACTCCATTTCCCAGTGGCCGAGTCTCTTTCAGTAGGAACTCCTGCCCAAGGGCTGTGGTACCTCTGAAGGCCCTTTACAACATCCTCACACCCTCCCCTGCTAAGACAGGGCTCTCGAGAGAGGCAAAACCAGTGATAATGTAACAGAAATGAGAGATTGATTTACTTCAGAGAATTGTCTTCTGGGATTGTAGAGGGGTGGCAAGTCCCAAATCTGCAGGTCAGGCCACAGGCTGGATATATCTAAGGGGGCTTCAAAATTTTGTGGAAATTTCCATTATCATTTAATTCCATTTTCCATGAACTTTGTGAGCCCTCCTGTGTATGTTTTTATCTATAAATATCTATCAATCATCTATCTATCTATCTATCTATCTATCTATCTATCTATCTATCTATCTATTTATCACCTTTCATCTATGTGTACAGAGAGAGAGAGAGAGACAAGGGTGTTGAGACAGAGAGAGGGAAATTGATATACTTCAAGGAATTGTCTCGTGATTGGACAGCATTTTGTGTCAGATGACACCAGGCTGGAGACTCCTTTAGGCTTGTGTCCCAGAATCCATGTGTAGGTGACAGGAGTAAAGGCTGAGTGCTCTGGCAAGATGTCCACTACTAGTCCGGCAGCAGGCCAAACCCCGCCCCCAGGGAAATGCCCTTTTTTAACTGCAGGCTTTCAGCTGACTCAGACCGGCCTTGCGTTAATAAAGCCGAGTCAATGACGTGCCACTACCTTCTAAGAGTAACTAGATGAATGTCTGACCAAACAAAACAACAGGATAGTGTGGCGTAGCCAAGTTGACACACAGTGAACCATCCCAGGACTCCCTGCGCCAACACATAAAGGCAGAGTGATCCAGAGATGTTGTCAGGAGGCAGCCCTGGGTGCCCAGGGGCTCTTTGCTTCCTTCCCCTACAGGAAATAAAGCTCCCAGTGCCCATGCCCTACACGCTGAAGGTGCACTACAAGTTCACGGTGCTCCTGGAGACTCAGCCTGGGCTCCCCTACAGCCAGGTGCTGGACATGGTGGCCAAGAAACTGGAGCTCCTGCCAGAACATACTAGACTGAGGTGAGCTGTGTGCAGGCAGCAGTCTGGGGAGCCGGCAGGCCTAGGGGGCCCTGGGCTGGCCTAGAAGGCAGAGGAGGGGCAGCTGTGGGCACTGATGCTCTCTGACTTTTTTGCTTTTTCTCTCTTCCCAGCTACCGGCCTCGGGACAGCAACGAGCTGGTGCTCCTTTCAGAGACTAGTATGAAGGCCGCCTGGGGCCAAGTGAAAAACTACTGCTTGACTCTGTGGTGTGAGAACACAGTGGTGAGAGCAGGGGACCATACTGGGGGTGGGGGTGCATGTTCCATTGAACCACTTAACTCAGCAGCAGCTCACCACCTGCCAAGCCCCTCACTCGCCAGAGACTGTTTGGAGCAACTGGGGGCAACTCCTTTTCTTTGCAGCCTCACCCCAGTTGCAGCCTGGAGGTTGCTTGTGAGAAAAGGGTAGGCCCAGAAATCCCAGGAGCCCCCCAGCACACTCGCAGCCCAGCCCACCTGTTGGTCCCTCCCCCTCACTGGGGACGGTTCCTTGCCTTCAACCCAGGTTGGAACCAAGTCACGCCTCCGGCTGAGCGCATGGCCATTCTTCCGCTTCTTAAATTTCCCCGAGGCAAAAAATATACAATTTATGTCATGAAGAGATGGCTCGGGTTAACAACCTTCTACCCCTAAAAAGAAGCCACTGCTGTCGAGGGGATCCCCTGTCGCGGTCTTCCATAGGGCTTCTGAGGCACACGGCCCCCTCCTGCAGCAGCTGGGGAGTTTGAACCACTGATCTTGCAGTTCCACCAGGTTCCTTGCGTCTACCAATAGGGAGTTTTGGGGGTTTTTTTGAGAACGTCATGTGTCCAACACCACGCTAAATACATTCTAAGAATCGATTCTTTTAATCCTCACAACTCTTAGTGGCCCCGTTTAGAAATTGGCAGAGGTCGGTCAAATATTTGCCTGTAGGTGGCACATCAACTGGCATTTTTCTTTAATCGTTTTATTAGGGGCTCATAAAACTCTTATCACAATCCATACATCAATTGTGTAAAGCACATTTGTACATTCATTGCCCTAGCATTTTTAACCACCGGTCAGCGTCAGCTAACCAGTAAGCTTACTTATGCTGACCTACTGATCAGTAGGGCACAATTTCACACATTTTTTCACATGGCTTCGAAGAGTTTGCCTCTAGGTATCGCTGGCATCAGTCTCGCTCCCAACCCCATAGCACTTTCCTACAGAATCAGTCTGCCACCCAATCTATCACTGGTTGACTGGGGCAGAGTACGCAGTGAGAGAGGTAGTCGCGGGCTTATTTATGCCTACATGTTCATCTATAGCGGGCAGCTTCACGTTTTCACCCATGTGAAAGCTCGCTGCAGGGTGGTAAGGATGCACAAGGGACTGTGCTTACCTTGTTAAGGGTCATCTGCTCCCGACCTGACATGTTGCTCTCAATAGTGAAAGGGCGGGACCTTGCTTTTGCCCTGACCTTCCTGGCAAGATCAAGGCAATACCCTTGGACTTTGGCCCTTTGGCTCCAGAGGGGCGGCTGACATTTGGTTTTGTTGTGGAGCCATTACTTCCCTCCCCTGTTCCGGCCCTGCAAACCTCCACAAACTTTACATCTGCTTTCTTCCCGATATTCCACGTTTCCTGGGATACCATGTGTGTGGATTGTGCAGGATATAGCATTGTTTCAGCAGTCAGTCCATTCCCTTTTATTGCCAAGTGTTGTCCATGATCCGTATGTGAATGGGCATTGGGGGCACTCATCCTCTATCAAGCATCCTGCTAGGTGCCCTCAGACTCACTGGGTCTACCTACCCACACATGCTGCGGGGACATGGGACAAGTCAGGGACATCTTCCTGGAGAACATGATGCGTACACCAAATTGGAAACCTCCAGCCCTGACAGAATGGAGCCCTGGTGTAGTGGTTATCCACTAGGCTGTTAACCCAAAGATCAGCGGTTTGACTCCACCAGCTGCTCAAGAGAAATGTGAGGTTTTCTGCTCCTGTAAAAGTTCACAGCTACAACCTTCCTCTAGTTCCTGAAGGTTTCCTCCCCGCTCCCACTACCATGACTCGAATTCGATCTTGCAAGACTGGCTAGACCAGAGGAGGTACACTGGTACAGATAGGAACTGAAAATACAGGGAATCCAGGACGGATGAGCCCTATAGGACCAGTGGTGTGAGTGGCAAAACAGGGAGGGTAAAGGGAGAATGGGTAGGAAAGAGGGAACCGATTACATGGAACTGTGTGTGACCTCCACCCTGGGGGACAGACAACTGAAAAGTGGATGAAGGGAGACGTCGGACAGGGCAAGATATGACAAAATAGCAATTTATAAACTATCAAGGGCTCATGAGGGAGTGGGGAGTGGGGAGGGAGGGGGAAAATGAGGACCTAATGTCGGGGGTTTAAGTGGAGAGAAAATGTTTTGAGAATGATGTACAAATGCGCTTTACACAATTGATGTGTGTATGGATTGGGATAACAGTTGTATGAGCCCCTAATAAAATGTTAAAAAAAAAAAAAAGTTCACAGCTTCAGAAGGGGCAGTTCTACTCTGCCCTATAGGCCAACGGAATTGAGTCAGTGGGTGTTGGATTTGGAGGTAGGAAACCCAGATGTTATGATGGGCTCCGTCACTTATTTGTGACTTCATTTGAAAAGGAACATTCAAGCCTAACCGCCCTTTTCAGGCTTGCTGCAGGGTTTCAGCACTAGTTTTCAGAGTGCATGCTAGGATCACAGACTTGCCTGAGCGTTCATCCCGGGCCCGCGCTGACATGTCACGACGGCTTGTCTTCGCGATGCCCAGTTTGCTGGCTGCGTAGGGAAACTAACAGGAAGTCCTTTATTGTCTCAGGGTGACCAAGGTGTTCCAGATGAGTCCAAGGAAGAGGAAAACTCGCATGCTCGCTACCAAACAGAACTTCCGCTCCAGGGAGGGAGCCAAGTGGTGGCCCTCTTCAGCTATGAGGCTACCCAACCAGAAGACCTGGAGTTTCTGGAAGGGGATGCAATCCTGGTGCTGTCAGAAGGTACGTCTACTCCGGGAGTATGGAAACGAAGGGGAGTGTTAGCAGAAACAGGGCAGGGAGAAACCACCAATAACCTGTAAACCCAAAGCCACAGGTTTCGACCTCGCTGGCTTTCAGCCGGAAGAAGCCTGTCACTCTAATGTCCCAGACAAAAGATGTCTGGGTTACTAAAGATGGCTGTATTTTGGAAACCAGAGTGTCATCCGTAGAGTTAGCAAAAGGAGGGCTTTTGCCACAAGCATTCAAGGGTCTTCAGAGAGTTCAAGGAGAAATGAAACGAGGTTAATGGAATTTTTCCACAAACTTTTTTGACCCCCCCCCTCACCCCCACACCGTGCGATGCCGATATTACGCACACTCTCGTCCATGGAATTGACGTGCTTTTAAAGTGAAGGAAGGGTCCACTGGGCCTCAAACGCTGTGTTCAGAATGACCCTGCCCCTCTGGGGATGACTTGGAATGTTAGTCAGCACATTTAAAATTGAAGCAAGAAGTTGAGAAATCTAATTCAGCAATTCTGACTTCTTCGTAACTTTATGAAAACCAACTCTTTGACAAGCCCCCAGAGATGGATTCAGGCCGGGGGTGGGCCCCACAATGTGCCCTCTTAACAAGCTTCTGAGTGATACTGTACTCACTACAGACCATGCTCTGAGAAGCACTTTGAATTCGCGGTGGCAGCATTCTACTTTCCTACCATACACAAACCACTGTGAGGACGGTGCAGGACCAGGCAGTGTTTTGTTCTGTTGTGCCTGGTATGGTCTCTCTGGGTCAGAACTGACCCGATGGCCCCTAACCACCGCCTTCATGGCAAAAAGGAGATTCCCATCCTGGAGGTCGTATCCATACAGCTACCATACTGACCATCAGCAATGCAAAGGGGTGGAAACAGCAAATACTACCAGAAAACCTAAGGGATCAAGCAAGAGCTAGGGGCGGAGTACATAAGCATGTAACTGACTCAAACCACGGTGGTAAACACAGGCTGGCGCCCTACAGCGCATGGCTCCCACGAGGGAGAACTGGTTCACCAAATTTCCACCAGTGCCATTTCCTGGGTGCCCACACCAACCAGCCACTACGGCTGGTTTATTCTGGGGGCTAGGGATGAGGTAAAGGCGAGACACAGAAAGCTGCCCTGGGTAGATGAGAGAGGCAGCGTGCTCCCCACGGTGTTAAGGACAGAAGTCGGGCAGTGAGCTCAGGTAGCACGATTGCACTAGAGAACTGTAGCCAAATGCCTCGGAAAACGGAATTTGGCATTAATTTGGGGTGAGGCTGGGGGTGACAAAAGTTCCGAGTACCCACTACGCAGATAAAGGTATTTCCTTGCACTGGCTTTAGAACCTGAGGTCTGCGTTTTGGTTTTATCAGTGAATGAAGAGTGGCTGGAAGGCGAGTGCAGAGGGAAGGTTGGCATTTTCCCCAGAGCTTTTGTTGAAGAACGCAAGGCTCCGCAAGAGGTCTAGGCTCCACTCCTACGGAGCCGGAGCAGAAGGAAGGTTGGACGACGGATGCGCTCTCCTGGGCTGGCAGTCTTCGCAACCCCTGCAGCACACTGGGAGTAGGGAGACATTCCCTTCAGACATGTGGGAATTCGCCTCTGCCCTAAAAAACCTGCCTGGTGAAGACAATTAGAGAACTCAGGATGCCGAATGCCATGGGGTGCCGGCTGGAACCATCTGGCAGGGGCACGGAGGGGTCTTCTAGGGTGCTGGTGAACTGGTCTTTGCTGTCCAGTTCATGAAAATTCAGAGCTGTGCACATATTTTCGAAGTCTGTGATCTCTCAATAAAGCGCTTGAAAAACAAACAAGGGCCCCCAGAGCCCAGGTTTAAGTATGGTCCTCATTACCATCAGACTCCTAAGGCCAAAAGTAACCTGACAAGCCATTCATACGAAACTACCTTCTCTTTACTCGTTTATAAGCCTCATGGTGGACACAGAATCGAGGTTCCTACGGGCTACGGCACTCACTTCCATGAAAACACACCGACATCCTCGTATGCGCTAAGAGAACGCACGTGTTCAATACTGAACGGTCGCCCCGGAACACTTCGTGATGAAAGCTGTGCAGACATCCATGCAGGTGGCAGGCTGCCTCCCATCAGTCAGTACTCCACACTAGACAAGTACTGACACTCAGGGACAAAGGCCAAGGCACCTTTTTGTGTTTTGGGGGGGAGGGGCAGGGGTGTCCGATCATTTCTTCAGGCGCTCTGGAGGGTGACCGCCGGTGAAGGGTTCCACAGAGACGAGAGCAGACGGCAGGGCCTGGCCTGTACAGCTTTGCTGAATGTTTGCTGTGCACAAAGGCAGGCCCTGGACTACGTCACTCCTGCACCCGCCTTTAAGTAGAATTTGTTTACAAACAGAATCATGCAGTTCGCTTCTTAAAGGGTCCAGTGTACTTTCCTTTGCGTAATTAACAGCGCAGACACTTCAGATAAACGGATACAACTTGGCAATGACATGTCATACTTAGTCATAAAGTGGAGCCCATTCTGATTATGAACCTGAAGTGCCTTGAACTCTCCAGCTATAGTAGGCTGAGTGGGTCATAATGCTGGGACTGCCGGTCGATGTCGTGAGAGTGAAGAAGGGAACTGTGGGCAGTGGGTGTCTGAGCAGAGCTGAGGCCTCTGGTGCCAAGGTGCCAGGCCAGCTGTCGGCACAGGAATGCAGCCTGGCAAACCTCGGTACTGGCTTTTGGGGCTGCGGTGGGTCCACTAGGTGGCCCTGGGGAACCCTGAACAAAGTCAAAAGAGTAAGCAATGTGTGAGTTGCCTAATTAATAATGACAAGAGGGATAAAAGATGGTGGGCTGCTCACTCCCTCCACTAAGCCAGTCTTCCTTTAGGAACTAGAATTTGACAGTTCCACTTAGAACAGGGGCTGGCAAACGGCAGCTTGAGAGCCACACTCAGGTCTTTCAGTGTGTACACAGAGCTCTGGAGTAAAACTGAAAAAAAAATGTAAAGGAGATTATTCAGATAATGTAAACATATACTGATGGCTCTTGAATCATTTTTAAATTGTTGTGAAGGACGGGACTGGCTTTTCCGTCTCAAGTGTTTTCTGAGCCCTGCTCTGGGACACCCCTGTCCACAGCAATGCTTGGGTCTTGAACGCTACTGCAAGCAAAGGCAACTTTCCCCCAGGGTAGTTTTAATGCGGTGTTCAGCCTTCTCATGACCGATTCTTTTCTGGCTGACATCATTTGTTTTTTGAAATCAGAGGCGTGCTGAAATCAAGAGCAACATGATCTGGATGCAATTCCGTAGACTCGGCTGGTGGGACTGGGGGTGAGGCCCATTGCTCAGATTCATGCAGCTGCGCAGGTGCCGACCACGGCAGCCTGAGAGGCTGACAATGTTGGTAGGTGACACAAGTCCCATGAGCCATTAAACTGGATTTTCACTAATATTACCTCTTTAGGAAAATACAATACACAGACACAGGTCTGGTTGGAGAGAACATGGTTTAATTAAAGGCAAAGCTGATTTTAGCAGCTGCAGGTCTTGCACAGACAGAAAAAGGGAGGGGGAAAAGGAAAAGGGGGAGGGGTAACAACCCACGTAAGAACTTTTACTACACAGAACCAGTTTCTGATGAAGATTCTCCTCCCCATCCTCTTCAAGCCACTGTGAGGATGATCAGGCAGCTAGGAACCCCGCCGCCAGAGTCAGAAAACATTCCAAACACCAAATTCTCATGCAGAAATGGGGCTGCGGGTGGGGCTCGGCACTCCGGGAGTGAGACAGCGGCCCTGGTTGGCTGTCTAGGGTGCAAGAATCCGTGATGGTTCACACGCTGGAATGTTGCAGCTGCCTGAATGCAGAGCTCAGACACGGACCCGGGCTGGGGAGGCAGCAGGGAGGGGAGGGGGCCGGAGAGAAGCACAAAGGGTTTCATATTGCCATTGGGTGGGGGGTCCCCGCCCTTTCAGAAACAAATAAAACCAAACCAAAAATCCCCGAACACCATGTCAAACTAAAGAGCATTAATGTCAGCATATGGGGTGGGGCTGGGGGTGAGGGGCTCCAACCACTCTCTGAAGAGCAACTCCCATTCATCCCTCCCCTGCTCACTGCTGGGGTTGCCGGGCCCCAGCGCTGGGCAGGGCTCCGGGCTGTGCTGTGCTCTGTCTGCAGCCGTCTTCCAGCTCGGATGCCCACCCCTCCCTCCTCCTCTTCCTCCTCGGCAGCTCCTGCTTCACACACAGGCACAGGAGACGCCTCCCAGGAAAGGGCCCCTACTGCCAGCACAGTACCCGGACACCGAGGTTGCTTCCATAATTCCCCTGAACACGTTACTCCTCCAGGAAATGACTAACAGACATGCTGTCCTTCTGTTTCTACACGAGAAAACCAGTCCGCTTTCCTCCTAATAAATATCAAATAAAGTCTATTGTCCTTTCGCTCGCCTTTTCCAAAATGGGCTTGGTTGTGTTGTCTTCCGTGCAGCACGAGCCGGTGTCCACGGTGCCGCTGCGAGTGTCACTCTAACACGGGGTGGGGGAGGCCGGAGCCGGGCAGGCCTGGCCCCTCTGTGGGCACCCCGATGCCACTGCCGCCGACTTCTTTCTTCACACTGTCCTTTGGGCCCCGACGCTGTGGCTTCTTGGTGAGATGTTGTACACAATAGGAACAGAAACAATGACTAGCATACAGCATAGGGCAAAAACAAAACAATGGAGGTAGGGGCAGGAAGAGGTGGGTGGGAAGTAAGGTGTGGGCACAAAAAACAACCAAACAGAAAAAAACCACACTGAAAGCTTCTACCTAAGAGATCCGTCAGGCCGTGGACTGGACAGATGCGCCTGCCTTCTGTCAGACCGCTGGCTGTGCTACCATCAAATGGACAGGAATCAGAGGCGTTCATTTGAACCCTGGAGCAGCCGGTCACCTGCTCAGCCAGCCCAGCACCCCCCCTACACTGCACCTCGCCTGGGGCTCGAGCACCTAGTGAAGGGCATTCCCTGCTGGGCCTCCAGGCCAGGGAGGGCCTTCCCGAACCTTCTGAGTGAAAGGGAGGCCGTGCTCTCCCCTTTATGGAACACTCCCACTGGCCGGAGAGCTCGGATTCTTCCCGTCCCCACCACCCTCTCTCCGGGGCAGTTCACGGGGCTCTCCTTGCTACAGCACACTGACTAGCACACCGGTGTGCGGAAGGGTTCAGTGTGACAGTTTACTACCCAGAGTCAGAACAATAATAAAAGATGTTCAGGAGTAATTTCAACTACATTCTCAGTCAGCAAAGCAATCATGGATTCCTATTTTATTCCCCCAAGAGGGAAAAGGACTGAGACGTTCCCGTCGGCTTCTCCCATCTGCCTTTCCTTCCCAGCTTTCACCTCCCATGTGGCTGGGGACATGCACGATGGAGAAGGTGAGACAAACTCAGGACACTGAGTGAGACAAACAGCAGCTCCTCTCTCCCTCCGGAGGACCCCGGGGGGAAGGAGAGTTCCTGATGGGTTTTCTTTTTGTTGCACTGCGGACATTTCGTGCACACTCAGCGGGCTGGTGGGACACTTACACCCTCTTGACAGCAAGGAACAGAAAAGAGGGCTGCCACCTGCAGGGGACTGTGTGGGCCAGTCCTGCAAGCCCAACATGCCATGGTTTATGGAGCCTTCATTGCCAGGGTTGCCACTCTGGTCTCAGTGTGGTGGGTTCATGGTGCCTTGTCCCCGCTGCTGTTTCTGCTTCTGCTGCATTAGCAGCTGCTCCAGAGCGGAAGGTCCAGGATGCATCATGGAACTGGACCAGATAGACTGAAAAACAGCCCCGATCTTGTCAGCAGAGGTCAAATGCGTGGTTGTCTGAAAGGGATTTGTCTTTCAATCCCAGCTAAATATAAACGCATGTATGTCCCAAGAACTCTATCCCAGTCCCAGAAAAAACAAACAAACAAAAAAAACGAAAGACCCAGCAATGAGAAAATGTCTTTATGAGACTCATTTCAAGACTAGTTCTTTTCTATTAGGATGATTTTCAATGAGAGAAAGGAGAACTATGCGTCATATAAAGTCTTTTACAAAAACTCAGTTGTGTGCTACCACAGGGTATGTACTATTAGGCACACAAAACATTTATAAAATTTGATACCTTTCAAATAAAACATTCCAAGACAAATCAACCTTAGAACAAAGTAAAAACTTCTGTTTTTATCCCCCAACGTTTTATCTCTAGTGAATCCACAACTAAAACAAACAAAGAAACCCATTTAAGCATATTATAAAGTAGACGGCGGTTCTTGAAGTCTCTTACCTGCCGGAGAGACTAAGCCTCACTACATGCAGCATTGCAGCCAATAAGAGCTGCGGTGCATGAAATCCACTCACCTTGAGACTTTCCATGAGGACAGCGGAGGAATCCTCCATGGAGGAGCCATGGCCTGCCCAGGTGCCACTTGGAGTGCTGGCTGGATGCCAGCTGCTCTCAGAAGACGATGTTGTGGAGAGATAGTCAATGCCAAACCCACCCATGGCTAGAGGACGAAGAGGGAAGAGGAATGAAAGGTGGCACTCTGCATCACCACCATGAAACTAACCCCAGGGCGGGATGCCGGAAACCCACTCTTCTCCATCCATCCCGATGCACAGCAAACCCTACAGGAGTGAGCACAACCGTCCCAGGAGGCTTCCGAGGCTATAACCTCTTTACAAGGGCAGCTTGCAGTCCGTTATACTTTCTTTCCCCCTGCAGAGCGGCTGCTAGATTCGAATCGCTAACCGTTTAGTTCAAGGAGGAGGGCTTGCTCAGGGAAGGATAGTGCAAACAAGTCATTTCATTTCTGCTATGGCACAAAACCCACGTCTCACCTGGCTTATCTGTTTTCCACCGATCTGTAACCCTCCTATCCCTGTTATCTGGAGTCCCAATGGGTCCAAAGTTGGAGAATGGGACCGAGTTATGGTTGTGCGTGGGTGGAGAGCTTGGCAAGCTGCTAGGGTTGGATGAATGAGGAGACTGGCTGGCTGGTGTCGAATGATCTATTATATAATAACACAGGAATTAAAAGAATAAGATGTTTCACAAGCATACCAAGAACTGTAGATCTGATCACTTGAATACAACTAAAAATAACCAATGGGCTTTCAGGTAAAGGGCAAATAAGGGCTCAGTGGGAATCTGTCAGATACACTAATTTGTATAAAAACAAACAGGCAGACAATTTTTGTCAATTGCACAAACTACTCAGGCATGCTTATTTTAGCTAAGTAACTACTGGTCTGCCCTAAAAGAAAGAGAATTGCCTAAGCTTAAGAATTACTATTAAATCTGACCCAATTTACCTCAACTATTATAAAATGTCTAACTGTCCCTGTGAAGAACAAATATCTAGAAACAAAAATAAAACCAGGTGGGCCACACACTTCCCAAGTTAGAAAGCACATTTTCTCCCTTAAAACTCAGCTCCTTATTGAGAATACAAAAGGCTTTTCTAGTAGCATCATGTGAACTAGCTCATCAGGCTTCCTAATTATTTTCCTTCCAAAGGAATTTAATGCATATGGATATAATTTCCGAATCATTACTCGTCACCAATTTGAGTGCACACAAAAAAACACAAGGTCTAAACAGACTAGTTAGCTAGTACCTGAACTGGCAGGAAGTGATGGAGACCACGGGGTCCCTTCAAACAGAGAGTACAGGGATGTTTCCTGGGGGGCCATTGAGGCGGGGAGTTCTGCTTTGGAGCTGGTGGTCAGGCTTTTCCCATAGACTTCATTGAACACACTGTTATTCGGGTATCTTTCCTGAAAGGAAATGAAGGGCCAAGTCATAAACTTACTCCGAGGAAAGATAGGAGAGAAAACGCAGTAGTCATGGAGGTGTGATGCACCGTAAAAAGTTTTTTCAGTAACTTATACTTCTCAAGCATTTTTGGGGGAGTAAAATTCACTCTCCCTTTTGCTTACTGGCTCTTTATTTTGTGAGAATAGGTATTATTATTATTTTGGTTAAACAACACCAGTGCTAGGGATTTCAGTATTAATAAAAGTTGTGCAATATCAAAGTCTCTCACTGCCTACTCTCCAGGAGGACAGGGTAGAGCTGTGAGTCTCTGAGACTGCGACTCTTCACTGGAGCAGCCAGCCCGGTTGGACTCCCGAGTGAGTCCCTAGCCCATCCCAATCAGAGAGAGAGAGAGAGAGAGAGAGAGAGAGAGAAAAGGTCAACTATCCATCTGGCGGACACCAACATATGGAAGGCAAAGAACAGACTAACAGTGATCCACTGAGATACAATGGGAAAGAAAATCTGTGCAGTGAAATTTCCAATGTGCTTAAATAAATGACTCTGAATCATTTCCCTCGTTACTACAGCCTCCAGTACAAGCAATGAAGGAGACTTTGAACGTTTACCTACCTGATTGAGAGAGAATCCGGTGAGGGACAGGAAAGAGGGGGAATGGGACATGAGCTCCGAGGGCTTCTCCAGTAAGGATTTCTTCACAGCCCCGAACAGGACAAGAAAAATAAAGAAAAAGGCAGTTAGGTTATGGCCACCATTTCCTAATCTTAATCTTCAGATACTAGAGAACCCAAGTTAGAGACCACCATCTCAGCATCCATGGACAAGAGCCTGCTGCACACAGTGTAAGGCTTAGAAGACAGGAATCTGAAGCAATAAGCACGCACCTCCGTAACTACCTTGGTAATTATTGTTGAGTGCTCTCAAGTCCCCATCCTACTGGACAGAGCAGAACTGCCCCCTCATGGCCCGTCTTCTTCAAGGAGGTAAGAGCCAGGGCTTTTCTCTAGTGGAGCGTCTGGTAGGCTGGAACCCCGTACTTTACAGCTAAGTGCTTATCCTAACTGTTGCATCACCAGGACCCCTCCCCCTTGTTAATCGTGTCCCATTTAAACACCTTCCAAACCAGATCAGAAACGGTTCTGGCACTGGTTCCCGCCCACACCCAGAATAATGGAATTCCTGACTTTAAGAAACCTGTCCATCAACTTAACTGTGGTGGTGGTGGTTTTGTTAACATGTTTCCTAACTTGCTTGGTTTGTGGTATAAATTAGCATAGTTGCTAGGAGTTAAGTTCATATTGACTTGGCCCTGAGTTATTAGGAAAATTAAAAAAGCTCAATTTGTAATGTTCACTGCCATCAGAACATTTATAAAATACCTGCTACATGCAAAGAACTCGTGCAGACAGTTAAATATTGTAAAGGCTTGTTTTTTCATTGCTGTTTTCAAAATATGCAACAAAATTGAGCAAAACACCCCACCCGCTTGTTCCATCGCTGGCTCCAATTACTCTGGCAAGAGCTAGAGTAACAGGAGCCAAGGGAGTGGGAAGTAAGGGGACAGAGACCCTGCATTAGGTGCCTTGGGCAGCGCAGCCACAGCAGCGAGACGGCAAACACGGAGGAGGAGGCAGAGCGCAGCAGTCCGAGGCCCAGCAGCCCTTCTGCCCGCCCGCCCTCTCGGTTCTGAAGGCCCTTACTTGAGGGGGTCGGGGGGACACTCACCCGGGCAAATTCGAATTTAAGTGGCAGTGACATGATGGCTATTAAACGTTTATTTCTCCTAGGGTGCTTTTTCATCTCATGCTTTCTTAGTTTGTATTTATGGCAAAGAAATGGCAAGCGTGTCAAATCTGGAAATGCTTGAATAAGATGGCAGAGGGGGAGGCAGCCTCTGCTCTCGCAGGGCTTCCACGCGCTCACCCTTCTCCAAACACACTGGGGACACGGGAGGGCCAGCAGACTCGGAAACGGAGGCTGCCTTCCCAAGGCTCACTTTCAGAAGGACAGCCATTTATCGAGGCACAGGTCTTGTCACTCGATAGGGTTGTGTGGAGCAGGAAGCCATTCAATGACAGGGAGGGGGTTTTTTTGTTTTGTTCTGGGGGGACTGCCTTGAGTTGTGCATTCCTTTACGGCAGCGCAAAAATCTTTATAAATAGCACCCCCTTCATTTTCTTTCATTCTTTTTATGAGTCAGGCTCTGAATTTAGATGAGGGGCTTTTTGAGTTCAGTTAACCAAACAGAAGAGAGCCACATACGTTTAATAACGTAAAAAACCCAGAACACACTTCCATGCACATTTTGAGTACATGTGAGGAAAAATCTTGCTGTTCCTTGCAAAATTAAGCAACACTTGAAAATCTGGGTCTAGATGGACGTGTCCACTGAAAAAGGAATTAATCTGCTTGTGGAAGATCTTGCGAGTGACCGGCCACTTCAGGGTGCTTTCAGGAGAGCGCACACTGAGCTGTAACGTTAAGATGTGTTTGGGGGAAACCATGAAGTCAGAAGCATTTTGCCACGTTCTACTCCCACTCAGGATCAATCTGGGTCATCAAAGCAGCCTCGGGAGCGTGCATAAAGTGCCTGGTGGAGAGACCAAAGGTGGGAGCCCAAATCTGCCGAGCACACAGTGGGAGAAGAGGTGGCAGTTTCCTCCACACAGAGGACAGCTTGGAAACACTGTGGGCACCTCTCCCGTCCTACAGGGTCCCTGCGACTTGGAAAGAACTCAATGGCAGTACATATGGTTTGGGGCCATCAGGAAATAGGTTTCACACTTCTTTTACAAAATGAACCTCCCCAGAAAAAAAAAAATCACCTATTCTAAGCACCACGAAACTCAGAAAAACAGCTGGAGTTAAGAGCAAGAAGCAGAATTACATCAAATACATACAAAGAGATTCCGTCCAGGAAGAGAGGCCAGAGGCCCCAGCAGAGCTGGGTAAAGCTCAGGAGGGTTAGAGAAAATCAGCTCTTCCTCTTCCTCCAGGGCGGCCAAACTCTTTAACAGGTCCGGAGGGAGCAGAGGGGAGCTCTTGGGGTCCTAGTGACAGAAAGGATTACAGTGAGAGGCAATGAAGGACAACAAGAGGAAAGCACAAAGGAGTAAGTCGCATGATTACACTGAAGAAGGGGGCAACTAGAGTCAAGGGCAAAGTCATCAGCAGTATTACCCAGAGAGGAAAGTAACACAAGTACAAAGACAGAGAAACAGCAAGAAACAAAGACACAGACAAACAGAGCAGAACACAGGTTAACTTGGCAAGTGAGTACAACAACTCAAAGTAGTGAAGTGATTAGCATATCATGTGCCAACAAAATAGAAAAACCACCAAACTGTTCTTAAAAGTTACACACACACACACACACATCTGTTTCTCACGGATAGAAAGGGCAAGGGAGCGGGACTCCACTGACCAAGATAACGGCTGACTCTGTCCCCTCTCAGCAAGCCATTTGCTTAAATGCACGGTAAGCCTATTTTTAAACTTAGATGATTCAGCCCAAGTGAGAGGCACTCGGTCCCAGAATCTCGAACATGCTGTCTTAGAGATTTCTGCACACAATTTCTCTGCCAGAGCTTTACAGTTCAAGATCATGTACGGACTGCTTCTGCTCCCCAAACGGAAGCACACTGTGCAGGTTTGAAGGGCTGCCCCAGTCACTCAGCAGCACTCTTTAGTACGACTGAGCTAGAGAGAGCTTCAAGAAAGACATGCAAGCTGCAGACCGGGCTCCCAAGTGTCGAAGGACAGGTAAGCACACACACCTCAAATGGCATTCTGGGCACAGGATCCTGTTCAGGACGGAAGACGCCTGGTGTCCGCTTGCCCCTGCGGTCCATATTTACTTGCGGTGCCATTACAACTCTGTTATCAGCCATGTTGTAGGAAGAATCCCAGTAGAATTCTGGGACCTTGACTTCTGAGGGATTATGGTTGTATGGCTCCATGGGAAAAGGCTTCATTTTTTTCTCTAGAGGCTGCTGCTGCATCACAGGAGGTTGCAATGACGGCTCAAACAGTTTGATGGGGTCTTGGGTCTGAAGGTAGTAGGGCTGTTTCACAGGCATGATTTTCCCTAATGGGCCTTGAACCTGAGGGGGATTCCACAGTTGTTTGGAGGCATCTGCCGGCTGATACTGAAAAAGAGATGCCGGTCATCAAAGTGAGGCTGCAGTGTCACGTTACAGGACCACAGGAGGACCCTGAGGAACGGCACAACTAGACAAGCCACACACAAGCACAGCAATTTCCTTTGCCTTTTGGGCTTTCTAATAAACAGAGCTTTCTGGGCATTGATCATGGATGTTCTTTCAATCCAATAACTTAAGAGGTTTAACGAATCTGTGTGTGTGTGTGTGTGTGTGCTTCCCCGCATGTGCGGGCTGCTCGCTAATGCTGTGGGGATGACAATCTTTTAGGTTGGTGCAGTATCTTAGCACTTCAGGAAGATCACAGTTCAACCCCCTTTTCTGTTGTATGTTCAAGCAGGAGAAAATTGTTTACAGAATATATTTGTTCTGGGTGAAGGGAGATGCAAACAGTGTTAAGACATAACAAAATAATAATTTATCAATTATCAAAGGTCCATGGGGAAAATGAGGAGCTGATAACAAAGATTCAAGTAGAAAGAAAATGTTTTGAGAATGATGATGGCAACAAATGTACAAATGTGCTTGACACAATGGATGGATGTATAGATTGTGATAATAGTATAAGCCCCTAGTAAAATGATTTTTTTTAAAAAGAATATATTTTTCCTATAAGGTGACTAACAGCAAAAAAAAAACAAAAAAAAAACGTTAATAAGATCTATTATCTCTTCCTTATGCCTCAAAGCTGAGCTGGTACTTTGAACTGTGGGACTGTCGAATGACTTCCGTTTTGTCCCCCCCCCACCCCCACCCCCTCGCTCGGGTGTGATGGCAGACACAGCTGAAGCATACCTGCTGGAATCCAGAGTGGTGAGGAGGGCTTTTCCCCAGAGCCGGCACAGCTTTTGTAGGGGATTGTTGCTGCTGAGCTAGAGCTTGAACCTGCAACTGGCTTGTAGGCTGTGCTGTTGGCTGAGGTGGTAACGATGTGAGGGGCTGCTGGGAAGGTGGCTGTGATTGTTGAGGTCCCTGGTTCATTGGCCCTGGTCCAGAGGGCCGTTGCTGGCTGTAAGGAATGTGGGACTGTTTCCCAGCTTGCACCTGGTTTCCTGCTGGAGAGTGAGCTGTAGGCTGAAGGAAGGTTCCTGGGACAGAAACACCAGCTGGGAAGGTATAACCTGAGCCCATAGAAAATGCCACAGGAGGGGGGATAACATATGTTGGGGGCGGGAACCCTTCAAAACAGAAGAATAGACCTTTAGTTTAAAGAAATACAGTAACACAAAAAATTATTTTTTAAATAGAGGAGGCATTTTTCCTATCAAATTACTAAGTAAGGGTCCAGTCAATCTTTAATTTCAAGAACTAAATATACACCATTGGCTACTTTCTTTCTATTCATTAAAATAAGCAAGGTGTTCTAAAGGTGATTTCTAAAGAGATCATGTTTAGTGACTGGAATTTCTTTACAATAACAAATATGCACTTGTAGGAGGGGACTTAAAAAAGTTAACAGACATTTTTCACTTATTTAATTCCATTTTTTTCTGCAGTAACCCCGTATTATTAATTACAAAGAAATGGACCAATTCCATAAGTATTAAGAAACATAGTGTATCCTTCTACCTTAAAAAACAAAACATTATGATTCAGTGATATCACTCCTCTGCAATATAAACTATTTAACAAGTGAACAGGACCCCACCTAGACAAGATTAAGCAGCAGAAGAAGCAAAGCGTGGCCTCACCTGGCCGGCTGGGCAGAGGAGGGAAGGCTCCCGGGTGATGAATGGGGATGAACTGGGAGCTGCTCGCTTGACTTGGGCTTTGAGTTACAGGCGTTTTCCTGGCTTCTGACACTGGAGTCTTTCTTAATTCTGTCTGAGATTTCACCTAGGACCCACAGAAGCAAAACGATCATAATCTGTAATTCAAGTGCATCAGAAAGCACCTCATTCTGAGAATGTATTCAGGACTCAGTTTTGACCCCCGACCCCCAAGTCCCCAGAGTATACACTGAAGATACCATATATACTTGAGTGTACGCCTACCCGAGTATCAGTCGAGGCACTCAATTTTACCACAAAAACTGCATTAAAAATGTGCTGAAAAACTTGGCTTATACATACGTATATACAGTTTTTAAAATAGAAATTCCAAACCAAACTAGTTTATTGCCGATAAAGAGAGGGGCTGAGTCTGATTAAAATTAAGGAGTTTGCTTTCACGGGGTGATAATGGAGATATTTCCAGCGATAAGGACCAGGTTTGAGATCAGACCTGTGGAGCCAGAGAAGTTGGTGGAGGGGCACCACTCAAGAAAAGACTTTTCAGTTGGCAAAATGAGGACAAATGGGTAGCATTTATAGACGCTTTGGGATGATGCTCAGAGGGTGGTGATTTATCTACGTTCTTTCATCGCCTATAGACAGAGCTGAGAGATGGCTAAGGGACTGAGAAAGTTTGTATTTTCAGTCTGGATGTGTGGGAGGCTCTGGACTCTTTATCCCAAATGCTCTGATCCGCTCCCAGCACCATCTTTCTCCAAGTCTTTTCTCAATTCCTACCATCTCCCACGACCACTATGGAACTTAAAATGGTGCTATTTCTCCCATTAAAAAAAAAAAAAAAAAAAAAATATTTAAACTATCTTCAACAATGTAAGATCCCTCATATCTACTGGAATCCAAAATGTGTTAAACAATCACACGGTCATGGGAGTATTTATTCCCACCTCAAGGATTTAAATGAACCAGTGACCAGTGCAGAGCACAGACCCTTCCCTGTTTAGATGCGATCATGAGTATCTCTTTGAAAAGATGAGCAGTCTTGGTCTTTTCCCACAGGACACCTGGGTTCTTACTTTACAAATTCCAATGAGCCAGAACAGCATTTCAGTGAAATAATGCTACTAGCTGGGGCATGTTTAACTGCCAAGGGAATATAAATATATTCCCAAATACATATTTTGAAATTTGGTAAATCTGAACCACCCCCAGACACACACGAAAACCCTGTCAGAGACTTTCTAGCCTGGAACCTACTAGAACTCTATGTAAGATTCGGACTCTTAACTACAGCATTAAAACCAACCAACCAGCCAGCCAACCCACCCACCCAAACTCACTGCCACTGAGTCAATTAGGACCCTACAGGACAGGGTAGAACGGCCCATGTTTCCGAGATGGACATTCTTTATGGGAAGAGAAAACCTCCTCTTTCCCCCATGGAGCACTTGGTGGCTCTGACACAGATCTCGCTGTTGGAAGCCCAGCGGGTAATAACCATGCCGCTACAGCTCCCAAAGAATACGTATCCTTATGGAACCGAGGGCTCTGCATCTGGTCACTTCAGACCAACTTAAATTGGCAGGACTGAAAACGAGAGACGTTACTCAGGTTGAGATTTTTTCCCTAAGAATTGATGAAGTAAGCTTCGATCATAGCTCTACACATGACCTGTGTGTTCTAGGAATGCACTGAAGCATCCAGGCAAGTCTACTCTCAAAGCTTCAGGAACAAAATGAAAAATCTTGTCTTTTGTGTGAGCCTCCCTCTACGTGCTTTAGAGTTCAACTACCGCTGACCTGCACTTCCACACTCTGCTTTCCTGACCCCTTTCTAAGGTGCATTTCTTGGTTTAGTCTTCTTCTTGGTGGTGTCCTTCTGTCTGCCCATCATTCTTAGTTACAGTTACTCTTTTGCTATAGTCCCTGCTCACCTCTTTGGGAGGAAAACTTCTTCCTTGGTCTCTGTTCACTTCTCGTGGCTTAATGTTCTCTTTGAAGGTGACCATTGGTTTCTCTCCTGCATCACAGTTGTTGCTTAGGTTCCGGCCTGTGGACAGCACTGATTTCAGTCCTGGGCTCCCGTCAGCAGACAGTGACTCTATTATAGATGTTTCTTGCAGAATGAGGTTCTCTTTGGCTTCGCTGGGTTCTTCCAGTATTAACTCTGGGATTTCTGTGATAAACAACAATTTTCCTACCTCATTTTCACACTGAATCAGCCTAAAAAAGTAAACAAATCCACAGATCAAAGTCATAAACCTAAAAAACAGTTATCAACCAAACTGCAAATGCACCAAACAGTCAATGTATGCCTGGCTCTAAGAACTACAAAAATAGCAAGGCATGAAAAATGTGAATTCAGGTAACACAGAAAGTAGCTCTCTAGAAATTAATAATCGAGTATCATAATTAACACTAGCAGACACATTCTCCTGCTTTTACATGTTCTCTACTAATTATAGCTCTATTTACAGTGCTGCATTAAACACAAAGTTCTAGTGCAGGCCCTGGACATGTCCTACATGGGAGCTATATAGAATTCCCTATCTTATAGGTGTAGCAACTGAAGCGCATGTGTTTGTTAATTCTTAAGTGGCTACGTTATAGAGTATGTAAGTACTAGGTTATTATTTCTGAAAGGTGATAATCCACTAGGAGATCTCAAGAACATACACCCAAAAGTGGCTCTATAATAAACGGAACTCAGACACATCTGACTGGCCACTAGCAGCTCCTCTTCCTGGTCTAACCTGACCGAAGCTGTTCTCTGTGCTCCAGCCAACACAAATCTCCATGTCAGTGAACATACAATTTACTAAAATTTCTACACGTGTTCTTAAATTAGAGAGTTCACAACAAATTAATGCAGACAAGACCAATTCTCCAGATGGGCAGTGCAATGAGGGAAAGATGTATTAAATAGCAAGTATACTAAAATCACTAGGGTCATCGTTTGATGGTGTTGACAGTTTTATGTTGAGTCAACATTTTGGCTTAGGAGCAGACCTTTGAACCCCCTGTCAGCCATGAATCTTGTTAAAATGTAAATCCTGAAATAGCATACCTGGGTAGAAATACAAATTCTCAACAAGTCAAACAGAATGAAATTTTGATGTCTTGCTTCCAAAATCCATGGCCATTGAGTGAATTTCACCCCACAGTGACGTACCAACAGGACAAAGACTGCTCTCTAGGGTCTCCTACGCCGCCGTAAACCTTGACAGGAGCAGCCAGCCTCATCTCTCTCCTGTGGAGCGGCTAGTGGTTTGAAACTGCTGACACTACAATTAGCAATCCAACCAGTTCCGGTGCCACCAGGACTCCCTGAAACCCTGCTTCCAAAGCTCTCAAATCAAACTCACTGCGCTCCTGTCACTTCCAACTGACAGCAGCCCTGTGACACTGAGTAGAATTACCAAATGTCTGCAGGAATAGAGTGCTTCATCTTTCTCTCTTGGAGTAGCTGGTGGTTTTGAACAGCTGACCTCGATGGGCAAGCCACTATGCCACCAGGGCTCTCTTGAAGCCTTGCTTAGGTATTCATAGTTGATAGCATTATACTAAAGTTTAAAATACATTGAGAGGGTGTGTGTGTGTGTCTGATAGTATTAAAAATCCACCTGAAGCACCACATCCATACCTTGGCTGATTATCAGCAATCCATTTGCCTATAGAGATCAAGCGTTGCTGCCGTATTCGCCGTTGCTGGCCCTCTTTGTCTCCTGTAATACCTTGGTGGCCTTTGGAAAAATCTAAGTTCCTAAAATTGGCAAAGTATGGAAAATTAAACTGCTAAAGATATTTTCCAACAACAAAATGAGATATGCACCAAGTACTCCTGATTAACTGCAATAGCTTCAGCAGTTTCCCCACACAGGCTAGCAGCTTAATGTAAGTAAACTGTATTTGTGTGATTTTATATTCCCGCAGACTTTACATACAATAGAGCAAATCAGAAAAGACAATATTCAAAGTAAGTAATATAATGCAATATTTTCACTTAAACATCAATTTCTCAGGAGCTCAAATAAGGACTGGTTTTTTTTCCCCACTGTAAAGTGTACAAATATCATTAAGGAAAAATTCATTGATATTAGATCATTAACATTAAACCAACTTGCAAAAATAATCGCATTTTAAGTTTCTCTTCAGTAAACACATATACCTTCCCACTGCCTGCAAACATCTAAGAATTATAAGACAGACAAGGAGGCTAGATGCTGTGGACACAAAAACAATTAAAATAAGAGTCCCTATATTTAACAACAAATGATTATGCTTAATGTTCAACAAAGGCTGGCAAAGAGGAAGTGAGCTGGTAAAACAAGGCATTACTGACTCCTTCTGAAAAGGTTCCACAGACAGTAACATTACAGTCAGCTCTTCAGGGTCTTGCGGGGGAAGTGGTTGTTCCGCAGGCACAGCATGAACGAAGATCTGGAGGAATGGTAACAGAGCCATTCAAGAGCAGGGTCCCGTGAGTCAGGACAGTGAGGAGGGCGTGGTAGCACAGGCAGATCATCCAGCTCTAGAGCTGGACAATTAGAGCATTGAGACAAGCAGCCTGGAGCAACTTGGAGTGAGGTGGGGAGCATTTCAAAATTTTTATTTTTGTCCCTGTACACCATCTGTTCTACAATTAAAACAAAACAAAAAAATTGGAGGCAGAGTAGAAAGGGACTATAGGCATATACTGAAGAGGAAATAAAACAGAAGATTTAAAAAATAATCCTGTATGTGTATCTGAATATTTCATTAAAAAGATGGTAAAATTATAGAATGCAATGGTCATTCATGTGACAATTAAGATATAAATAAAAGAGAAATGGACTGTAGGAGAGACAGGCTACAAGTTGTTCATTAAGTGGTCTTATTTGTCCAGGTAGAAAGCCATAAAGTCTGAACCGTGGAGATGTGCATGGGAGGAGATACGGACTTGCCTCAATTTGTAGCCATGGTAGTTACTATCTCGTGTCAACTTGATAAATGGAGTAAAAGGGTGGAGTTTAGTCACTCAATCAGGTCAAAGCCTGATGGTACCTCCTTGGTGGGCATGACCTTTTCAAAAGGAAGGTCCTGGGAACCCCTCCCACTCTCCACCATCACCATTTCTCTTCACTTTCCTGTTGGTGAACTACACCACGGAGACCTGCCAGAGCCTTCTGATGCTTCTGCCATTGGATCCACAAGACGCGGCACCCACCGGTCTGTGACCTTCCTGCATTCTGAATCACTGCATGTAGCTGCTTGAGTCTGAAGAGGGAACTATGGACTAGTATCGGAATGGGGCTGAGATGTTTTCCTGATATATAACCATATCTTGATATAAAGCTCTCTTATACATATACATCAATGCCTCTGGATTTGTCAACCTGGCCTCACACACCAGCTTTGGTCATATAGGTGAAGACTGTCAAAAGGGAAAACAAGAAATACAGTAATATGTGTTTTTTGGTTAGATAAGCAGGAAAATATAATTTTGGTTATGTTAAAGTTTGAAATGAATATGGAAGTCAAATTGTTATGACACATAGGCCCAACCTAAAAAAGTACCAGAATTTGAGACCTGGGGCAGAGCACATCCAAGAGATGAAAGGGCTGATGAGCAGGGAGGAAGTAGAAAGTGGGGGAGAAGGGCCAGGAAACCATGCACCGTACAGACTCAAACGTAAGCCGAATTTTTCAGCACGTTTAATGCCGTTTCTGTGGTACAATTAGGTGCCTCGGCTGACATTTGGATCGGTTTATACTCAGGTATATATGGTAGAGAAGTGTACACGATCACAGAGGCATATGCAGGGTAAAAAGAGAAAAGGGTCGTCAGATCTGAATCAAGGAAGGGTGAAGGAAGGAAGGGGAGTCAAAAGAATCATTCCTAAGACAAAGCTAAACTGGGTAAAAGGTATAAAGAAGCCACTGGGATTGGGGCACTAATAGTTTAAGTTGCAGAGAAATAAAGACTAGGAGCTATAGAAGAATCAATAGGTTCCACTCTTCAAAAGTTCAATGGTGAGAGGGAAAAGGTGGGTTGTGGAATTCCACTTTTTAAAGATTAAAACAAAGCTGAATGTTATCAGGCTGAAGGGATACAGGTTGTTAAAAAATAAAAATAATACTGCGTCACTGCCACCTCCCCAAGAAATACAACAGAGAGGGCAACATCTGAAGCACAGGGTAGAGAACGATGGCACCAATGGCAGGGCAAAACGGGACAAGGATCAAGAGAGTACACCTTAAAAACAGGAGGGCAAGAGACGGGGCATTTGAAAAAAAAATTGGGAAAGAGGTCTGTTGTTGAAATAGAAAAGTCAGATCACAAGGGAGAGAAGAAGGAGTTAACTAAGGAAAGGAAAATTCAGAGTTTTAAAGCCTACAAGCTCATTAACTTTTCCACATGGAAAATGTCTTGAAGTTTATGTCCACTTTCTAGAAATGTTGGGCTTCTAACTGCCGTGAAATGTGCCAGAGGAACACAGTGATTCCTGTGACAACTGAGAGCTCAGAGCATTTTCCAAAAAGCCAGCGATGTGATCATGCAATCGAGACAGAGAGAGGTTCCCTGGCTTATTTCCTGACGGACTTCTCTCAGGCTAATTTGAGGTATGAGCTCCGTCCGACACCTGGTTTGAGTCAAGCACACAATGACTTCTTTCTTGAGTGCTTGCAACAAGCCTGAATATGACTAGGGATGTTAAAGTACAACAACAACAACAACAAACAAGCAAGTCCTTGGTTTACATTTGTATCCGTTTCCAAACATTTGCTCTCTGATTTCAAGAACCATAGAAATCTTAAGATTCCATGAATACTTATCAATTGGAAAATAATTTTTTTCCTCTTTTTTGTTTTTTAAGTGCTTAGTATTGACACTACATCAAAATGAACTCTCTCAGTGCCACAGAATCAATGCTGACTCACATTGAGCGACCCCCTATGGGTTTCTGAGACTGATTGTTTATGGGAGTAGAAAGCGGGGTCAAAGACCAAAGCACAACCACTACACACCACCAGCGCTCAATGACATTAAAATGATGAAAGGACATACACAAATCTTATTTCCACATCAACGAAAAAGAGACGCAGCTGAGACAGATCAGTGGTTCTTCCCAAGTCCTGTTATTTTACTGCTGTAATCACAAGCAAAGAATTAAACCTCCTTCAGCCGCCACCTACCTGAAAGAAGGTCTCAGAGCCAAGAATCCTTGCAACTCAAACTCTTCTGGAAGTGGGGTAGCTAGAGGAGGAATGAAAGCAAGATGTGTAAACGTTTTAAAAGCACAAACCAAACCTGTGTCTTCTACATGGAAAAAACCCATCTATAATGCTCAGTGATCTCTTCTCCTTTTTTACAGTAACTTGGATAGAGTGAAGCACTGATCAAACCTCTATAGGTTACCTTTGGGCTCTAGAGATGCCTACTACTCATGCTAAGGAGGGGGTGACGATTTCTTGCTTGCTTGCTTGCTTTTAATCAGAAGTCTTAACGATTCAAAATCTTCAGTCTAGTAATCCTAAAGCTCAGATTATCTCTGATAATCTGAGTACAGGTTACTCCAAGTACTGAGTAACAACAATGACGTCACCTGGTAACTTGTAGTAAATGCAGAATCTTGGGCCTGACACCAAACTTACTGAATCATAACCTGCATTTAAAAAATGACCCCAGGTGATACACTCAGAGGGTAATACCTAAGGGACACTGATCTAATGAAAGGAAACCAGTTAGAAAGGAGTCAAGCCGGAGGTTGTTCAGTGCAGATTTACACCTATGGGGAAAATATCATGGTACATCCATAAGATGGGATGTCAGGTGAAATCATATTTTAAGAATGTTTAATGACAAAATAAAATGCGAGCAGTATAATGCTAAATTTAAAAAGGCATGTACAAAGGCCTGATACCAATGTATAATACGTACACATAGAAATACAGTGAACCCTCGTTTACCGCGGTTAATCGGTTCTAGACCCTACCGTGATAAATGAAATTCTGCGAAGTAGGATTCCTTATTTGTAAATCAAATATTTTCGTAGTTAGAGCATAGAGGACATGAAAAAACACCCTTTAGTCACCATTACACTC